GTCACCTTTCATCATTACATCTGCCCCCACTGTTTTAGACCTTCTCTTGTCTTGACAAATGTAATATTGATGTATGTACCAAAAAACAATATAAATAAAGTAAGAAAGCTCATCGTTGCGTTTATTTCAAGAAAGCTAAAATACTGCAACGCTGAGGTTCCTGAAAATACAATTAGAAAAACTTTAGATCCTTCAAAGGAGCTTTATTAAAAAAGTGCATGTAAAGGATGTATTAGTCTTTATAAGGCATGAACCTGTTGTAGTCTTATTACTGAAATGAATCATCTTATTAACACTAATAAGTTGTCTATCAACAAGTTTGTTTTAATTGTTCATTCATATTTTACATTTAATACAAGTGTTTTATACTTTGAACACTCATGAAGTCTGAACATTTACTGTTCAGATTGGTTATTTGTGTCTTCTAATGTCTAATGATGTATTTTTGTATGTTTGGCTGCTCGTTGTTTGTGTGAAACTCTGTTCATTGTGCTGCTGTCTGTCTTGACCAGGACACTTTGGAAAAAGAGATTTTTAATCTCAATGAGTTTCTTCCCTGATTAAATGAAGGTTAAATAAACAAATATGATTATTCATGTTAGTGAATGTTTTAGTCATGTTTATGACAGGTATATGAACTATTTACATGTTTCTAATTTGATTTATAATTACAATAATACATGTGTTAAATATGTTTGTATTAACACAAACAACATAGACTTATTTATGTTTATAAGCATCATGTAAGGTTTTATAATTGACTTATTAACAATTAATTAGCCTACAGCTTATTAAAAGGCTTTAAAACACAGGCAGGCTTTATGAGCTCATGATCAAATGAATTCCCAAGACATGAAACAAACTGGGATTTTTTAAATGTGCACTGGAGTTTTGGTAGAGAAATGTGAAAGTTGGAGAAGTGTACAGATTCTGTGATATGTTCATGACTCTACACACAAACTGTCCTCAGAGCAAAATGTGGTCCCTGGAACAGTTTGAAGATAAAATTCTACGAGAAAAGTTATGGTGAGGGGCCCACAACAGTGAAACTGTAACTCTCCTGGTGACTTTTTTCGTTCCAAACAGTGTTCAGGAACCCATTTTTTTCTTTGAGTAAAGTTTGTGTATTCAGTTTAGAAAATATCACAAAGAATTGTTTAACTTCTCCAACTTTCAAATTTCAATACCCAATCTGCACAGTGCACCTTTGATATAATAATAATAATACATTTGACTTATAACGCACTTTATGGATTTGAACGGAAATCTCAAAGTGCTAATTGGAATAAAACCAAAAAAACAACACGGGTAAAATCAGGCAGAGTTAAGGACCTGAGCATAAAACAAGGTATAAAAAAAAATGGTTTTAGGGAGAGGTTTTAGAGAAAGGCTCTTTTATATTTGATCCTGAGAGAGATGGGAAGCCAGTGAGCGCAGGATAATGAGATGTAATCTGTTTCCGCACTCTCATCAGGATCTGGGCAGGGCTGTTCTGTAGTTTCTGTACCCTCTTGCCAGGGATCCCGATGAGAAGTGCCTCACAGTAGTCCAGCCTGGAGGAGACAAAGGAGTAGTCAGCGTCTTGGGGAATGAGTGAGGTAAGGAGTTTTGCAATGTTGTTGAGATGGAAAAATTATGTTTTAACCGATGTGTTTTATGTGTGGTTCAAAGGTTGATGAGGGTCCATTTTTACACCTAGGTTGGTGACAAGTGGTGAAAGATGGATGTCTTGACCAGAGAAGGAAAGCAGTTATGAGAGATGACTGAACTTGGTGAGGTGTGCCGACTAGGATGGCTTCAGTTTTTGAACTGTTTAATTGGAGGAAGTTTTGACTCATTCACGACTTTATAACATTTTCTATACTGGAAGATCTGCTTTTGGCATCTTTGCACCATCAGCCTGGAATTTGCTACCATGCACTTTAAAAATCAAGGCACTGGTCTCTTATGGCCATTTCAGATCTTTAATTATTAACTCCTTTACTTCTGATTGCACATGTTTTAATTGATTTTCTTTTTAATACTTTTTATTATCTGTTTGTTGGTTTTTAAATGATTTTGTTTATCTATGATGTGTATATATATATATATATATGTGTATGTATACAGTATATGCATATGCTTATGTGTGTATGTGTATATATATGTATATGTATGTTTGTTATTTTTCATTGTTTATCCTGCTCGACGTCATTGTAAATGAGCGCTGTGCTGTCTATGATTTCAAGTGTAAATAAATAAAGACATAATACATATACATGTTTTAGGTGGTGAGTGTGGATGAATGTGGTGAGGCTGAGTGGTTGGTGTGGGTTTTCATATGAAGTTGGGTGTCATCAGTGTAAGGCAGTGTAGTCAGTGTGGTGATGAAGTAGGAGGCAGACTCACGATTCTGTGTTGAGGGTCCCATCAGTGGACATTTATTTACAAGTGCAACCAGGAAAGATGAATTCTGAACTGAAAACTATAAACACAAGAAACTGAGAAAAAACACAAACTCATCACAGCATAAGTCCTGGTGTCTGTTCCTGACCTGTTTTTCCCCCACAGCTCACAAACGACTCTCCTTTATAGAGCCAAACCTCCCCAATTACCCAATTACCAGCACCTGGGTCTAACCAGCCTCCCTACAGGGTTGCGGACACAAATCATCATAAAATAGAAACAACAATACAGACACAAAACAACTTCGGTAAATAATCAAATTTCCCACGGTACTTGAATGCATCACAACATGTGCAATTTTCCCATATAGATCACACATTAAAGAAATGCATAACAATACTGTTAGCAGCTTCCCCTTCAGACATGGTATTGTCTTTGACGGCACTGCTGACGTCACAGAAAGCTTAAAGACAGGGAAACATGGGGCGGCCTCCCTTTCTGCGTGACTAATAGTGATGGCGACATTAGGCTTTGTGAAGCAATGAGGCTTTGTGAAGCAATGAGGCTTTCCAGCCAATTGTATCGCAAATAGATTCATTACTCGAGGCCTAATTAAACAGTGTATAGTCACACTGTTACAGCAGGCTGAGTGTCCTTAATGACCATGTTGACCACAGCATCATCCAACACCTGCTTTCTGGAACCTAGGACAAAACAAAAATGTTAATGTATTTTAGTCAACATGTATTTCGGTATGATTGTGATGAAGCAAAGCAAATTACAGGGGAAAAAATACAAACCTTGTCTTGTTCCTGGCCTATTATCAGGCTGTCCATTCTCATGGACAGCTCTATAATGCCTTAGCATTGATGAGGTGTTGTTGCTATAGGCAAGCTCTTTAAGGCACACCAAGCACTTCACCTTCAAATCAAAATAATAAGCCATCGATAATGAACACAGATAATGATGATAGTGACAGAAATAATTGAAGCGATACAGCATGTCAATACATGAAAGCTTGTTAGCAAAATGGTTGTGGCGGCATCACATCGACATAGAGGCACGTGTTCAGATCCAGGAACTGTTGACAAATGTTTTGTTTTTATGTTTTTTAACATTTACCTTATTGGGAGATGATAACTCAAAATGCTCCCAAACAGGAGATGTTTTCCTCTTTCTCACAGGCTCCATTTCTCAAAAAAAATAGAACCAAAACTCCAACTCTCAACAACCAACTAACGCAAACTCACGAGGAGACATGACAAGTGGGTTACGCTTCCTTTTATCCACAACCCGAAACACAAACAAATCAATGACATAGTTCTACTCGAAGTGAGGCCTCGCTTCTCTGAAAATGACACAAGCCTCGATACGGGGCCTCGGCTAGAAATGCCCCTCATACTCGACACACGCTTCAAAGCCTCGGTGTCAAACGTAACATCACTAACTACTAATAAAGGTACTATAATTATAAACCATGTTTGTCTGTCATTATTATTTTTATGTTAACCTGCATTTAAAAAAGATGCAAATTCCACCTAAATATAGCACTACTCAAAACAAACCCGGGATAGTATTGTGTATGCTATATTAGGAGTTCATGGTTAACATTCAGGTGATTAAACAAACATAAAACAAATACATAAATAACATTAACTGGAATATTAGTATGACCTAAGTGACAAATGGCCTGGTCGAGTCCACTTTGTCACAGTCAGCGTAGCAGGGGAATGAGATTCCATGTGCCGGGTGATGATGTGACCGAGCCGTGTATTTAGCTTTGTTTAAAAAGCGTATTGCAGTGGGAATAAAAGAGTTTCTGTAAGTTTTCTTTTTTTTTGCCAGTGGTACTCTAAAACGACTGCCTGAGGGGAGCAGCTGAAACAAGTGGTGAAGGGGGTGTGAAGGGTCCTGAGTGATGCAGACTGCTTTCCTTTCCTGACCTGGCTGTGTTGACTGAGGTTGCATTTCAAAAGATCCGAGCTCAGACATGAAGGTGGCCCAAATCTGATTTGAAGTTGAATGTGCCTTGTGCTGTTCAAACTGACTGAAAAAAATCAGCTCCAACTCATATATGTGACAAAATGTATCATTGGGTCATTTTAAACTGCAGCGTGAATGCAGCATAAATAGTGGCCAGGTGAAGTCCTCGATGGCAGAAGAACTTTTATTCTGGACAATGTTCAGCTGTACAGTCTCTCCCACTCTCTCCTTTCTCTCTCACCATTATCTGTGCCCTCTCTTCCTGCTGCTGTGGGTATGTTTGAATCACTAGCCAGAAAACAGCATGCATTACTATTATGAGTTATTCAGGAGGTCAGGATGTCTTGGTTAGTTGTTGAAACAATACACTTTAAAAGTCTCAGTGTCTGATCAGATATGAATGATTTAGTCAGAGATTTCTTAGCGGTCAGATGAAACACACTGCTTGGTGAACAAACATTTCAAATCATTCCAATACAATGAAGGTAAAACACCGTCCACTGTGTGTAAGAGACTTTTTATATGAGCTGTCAAACTAAATAAGTTTGTTGCAAACATTTTGGTATGTGTGTGAGGTTTGTGCTTTGAATGCAGCTCTGAGTTCTACTTTATATCTCCTCCCTCTGGAGCTTTCATAAGCTAAGCCTCTCCCTTCCTCATACCTTCCTCTTTTGGTAAACAAAACCAGCTGTGCCATTTCCTATTAAGTAAGCCACTGCTCAGCTGCAGATTGCAATGCTGGTAAGTACAAACTCCATTATATTACTTTTGCTGTCTTTTTTTAAAACTTTGTTTTTGTGGTTTTGTGTTTGTTTTTTGTGTTGTATCAAAGCAGGTACAGATATTGGTTCTTTTGAGTGAACTGCTAATCTGCAGGATTGGCTGCAGCTTTCTGTGGGAAAAGTTCAGTGTTTAGTGAGTCATCTCCTGTGGAGTGACACATTGTGGGTTATTTTTTATTAGTTTTTGTTGTGATTGTAACAATCTTGGGTTGTGTTCACGAGTGGCTACAAGTTGTAGTTTGTTATTGTCTTATTTCTTTTCTCATAACAATCTGCACGGACTCTGTGTTTCCTTGTATGCAAACACTGGACTTTGACCACATTCCTGCATGATAAGTGACACGAAAGGCAGAAGCAGAACGTTGATCGAGATCAGGACGAGCAGCGACATTTCTGATGGGTTCCAAATAAAGGTGCAGCAGTTTGTTGGGTTTGTTTACATCAGCACTCCAAGAAGATCGTTGTTGTTACCCAGCATTCAAATCAGGGTTTCCATGGTAACAAATACAGTTTTAATCCAATATTTTTAAAGGAAGTTGTCCCAAGTTACTTCATGAAAAACGTTTCTATCTCTCTTCCTCTTTTTTAGTTTCCTAAAATATCAAAAACACTGAATTAACAGAATCTTATGTGTGAACCAAGGAAGTCTAGAGTCACAGAACTCTAAAAAGAAGTAATAGGGGGAAATAAAGGGGAAACACTTGTCGAAAGTTTTTGTAAAATACTGTGGTTATTGTTTATAATCCAAACTTGTAACATACATATATTCTATGGTTGATAGCAATACAACTAATCATAATACTAAGAATGAGGCACTGATTCCATTTAACATTAGATAATTCAATATTGGCCATTGTAAAAGATTTCAAATGTGAAACTCTCATTGCCAATTACATTGTAGCTTCCCATTGAAACAGAAAATACATTAGCAGACTAGAAAAATATTTACTGGATTACAGCAGATAGTTTATTTTTAATATACCAGTTCATGTAAAGTAGATCATTAGAGATACAACAAATTAAGTAAATACATGATGGGCTTATGTATTATTCAAGTCTACTGCTTTAGATGTAGAGAAGATAAAAGAGTGCATGTAATAGCTAACAGTCCTAAAGAACACTTACAGAGTACCTCAGTAATGAGTCCTGAAGTCTGGCAGTAAGTGACCAGTCAACATTACTTAATGACCCCAACTCAGAGCAGTCAGGAACCAGGCGTGCGTGCTTGCGTGCGTGCGTGTGTGTGTGTGCGCATGCGTGCGTGCGTGTGAGCGTGTGAGCGTGTTTGTACAGTAGTGTGCTTAATGATGAAAACTTGTGTTCAGAGATTTGCAGAACTGTGATTGAGAATGATATTTGATTGAGACCAATGGAGTTGTGCTTAAAGTTTAGCGCTTTAGAGTCACGTTGTTGATACATGAACTTCAACCATCATAATTGTGAGCAAAATTCAACCGTGTGTTTTTGAAATGGGGAAAGCTGTAAGCAAAACTTAACATTTACATCTGCTTTTATTTCCTGTTTTCATGTACTTCTGCATTTAATCATGTTTATAGTTTCAAATCTATTTCTTAGTCTTTTACAATGTTTTTATTTTTACGTCACTTCTGTGACTTACCTTCTGACAAAAACCTAAATTTAGCACAATGGAATAAGAAAACAGAACAACATGGTGAGACTACAATCCTTAAAAACAAGTGAGACAATCTTTAAAATGTTTTTCAAATGATGTTCTATTCTGCAGAGCTGAGCAATACTATGCACCACCACTAGATGGCGCCACTGCTCTACTTTTCAAATAGTATTGAGGCTGCAGAAAAACAGCCTGTTTACAGCCTTGTTAAAAAACGGATTAGCTCAGCTGTCTCTCTTTCTCCTCTCTCTCAATTCAATTCAATTCAATTAAATTCAATTCAATTCAATAGGGCTTTATTAGCATGGAAAACACAGGTTTACATTGCTAAAGATAAAGTCAAAATAAAATACAAAATTAAGTACAATTAAAGAATAACAGGATAACAGAGCTGTGCAGGTTTAATTTTTTTTAAAATACAAGATAAAAATCTAATTTAGCATTTAAAATATTTACAGATAACTTACAGAAATATATAATAAAAATATTAAGACTTAAAGACACTGTATGTTTTAAAGACTAGAGGTGTATGTACAGTTATATACAGATCAAGATTAGTGCACATGATGGTGCACTGATGTTTTGTACACGGGGGTTTGGAGCTGTTGGACGCTCTCTTCCGGTCGCAGCAGCTCACATAACGTGCTGCAGTGTTTTCACGCTGATGTACCTCACCCAGCACCTCCACAAGTTTGTGGTTGTTGTCCATTGAGGTAAATTGTTTCTGTGTGTTTGTGATGAGAGGGGAGTGAGTCTCTCTGATGTTCTGGTACAGTGGACAGGTGGTTAAAAGGTGCAGACTCTGTCCTCTTTGGGGAGCCAGGTCTGTCTGTGGCGTCCTCTCTCCATGGTGAGGTCGTGTTCACTGAGTCTGTACATGGTCAAACATGTTTCTCTCTCTCTCTCCATTATCTGTGCCCTCTCATCCTGCTGCTGGGAGTACGTTTCCATCACACTAAGTGCATGGACGAGGATGGTTTACTAGCCAAAAAACAGCATGCATTATCATTTGTAAAAGAACATTTCAAATCATTCCAATACAGTGAAAGTAAAACACCTTCCTTTGTGTGTGAGAGATTTTTTTATTTGTACTAAATAAGTTTGTTGCAAACATTTGGTGTGGCGTGTGGAGGAGGTTTGTGTTTTGAATGAAGCTCTGAGTTCTGCTTTATGCAGACTATTGTGCAACTACACATTCTCCTCCCTCTGGAAACTGCTTTCACCAGCCAAAAGCTTCTCCCTCCTCCTTCCTCTTTTGGTTCCACATTTTACGATAATAGTAAAATATGAAACATTTGATTTTTCGGAAAGAAATGCATACATACATACATCAACTGTTTCTACTCATATGTCAAACATTTAGGCATTAGCCTTTAGATCAAAATGTCTTTAAGATAATAACATGCATTTCAAAGAGCTGTGTCCAAACATTTGACTGGTACTGTATACAAATGTCTACTAGTAGCACTAGTTGTACTAGTACTACTACATTTAGACTCTTACTAGTACTACTAGTACTATTAGTACTATGAGTAGCACTAGTAGTGAAGTGGACAATTTGTACACTGTGTCCACAACAAAGTTCAATCATCAACATAACCAGGCTGCTTTTCTTTGGTGTGGATGACTTTGGCTCGGGCGTATTTGTAGCAGATAATCTAAATAGATGATGACACTTGGTCACACATAACATACACAGTTCACTGTTAATGAAATGTCCTCCTGTGGCTGGGTGGTGGCTGTGTTTTAGTGTTTTTAGCCCACATCTTCCCATTGTCCTCTATGATAAGCTTTTGGAAGTGGAGACATGCCCTCCATGTGTCTCTTAATATGGTGCATGACAAAGTTTGCCCAGCTCCTAGATGAAAAGCTGCCGTGCATTGGTCACACCTATGCATATGAGCAGGGTGTGGTGCAGTGAAGCACATTGTACCAGAGCACCATGGGCCATGTTCTCCGCTTATACGAGTATGTGCAAACAATCTGATCCATTGTGTCCACTTATTTTGTTGTAGTACTGGATTACTTCCTGTTTCTTCGTCACACTGTTGTCATCCACTGCTTTGTCATCATGCATGGTGCTCAGGAGGACTTTTCCTTCTTCAGCACATTGCTCACCATGGTCATGTTGTCATTTAATCAAAACACTGACCTACTGTATGTATCTCCCTCGTTTAGGATGGCAGGGGTTATGAATGGCTTGTTCTGGTGAAGGGTTCCCACAATAGATACTCTTGGTGTCGCATCAGAGTTGGGGGCGGGGCGTCCTTTAGGGGAAAAGAAACCTTTCCCCCAGCCACCAATAATACAAATGCATGGTTTAAAACTCTGATGCTAGTGCTTACAAGCTGTCATTTCCCACATTGATTCATTGCTGTCAATTGACAAAGAAAGTTATATTAATAAACTGAACAGAATAGGATGGAATTGTTGTCCAACATGTTTTGAAAGACAGCCTGAAGCGTCTTTCCCAGATATCTTTTGCTACCTGGTTGAATCAACCGTAAGAGACATTATCAAATTGACTTTAGATATGATAAATTACACATGACAAAACATCAGTAACACGGTACCAGACAACCATTAAAACTGAATTCAATAGCATGTTTGAGTTCATTCCATGCAACTGCTTAGCCTATCATTATTCGATTGAATATTTGTTTACTGTTAAAAATGTGTTGCAAAGAAAGCTTAATTTGCAAAACGTGGGATGTATTCCACTTGCCTTTTAACTATTAATCCAACATTCGTGGTAACCCTGAAACACTCTTACACACTTTGGATAAGGTGAAAATAACATTAAAGGTAATTGTAGGGTATACACATGCTTAAATGTGGATTAGCACATGTTGGCAAGACCAGTTGATCTTTAAAGACTCGTGTTGCTGAACATCGTAGTACCATGAGAAACAATGTCACATAAAGCTCGCTTGCTGTACACTTCTCTGTGGCAAGCCACAGATCACACCAGAAGAGAGACTGTGAAAAATCCACATGGGGGGAGGGGGGTGGGGGGAGATATTAACTCTCTGCTTTTGAAAGAGAAGTGAGCTGGATACACACACTAAACACTTTAGCCCCAAAGGGCTTTTAAGGAGAACTTTGACATCCGACCTTCTTTATAAAAACATCTAGTATGTTATAATCAGTGGGATCTGATGATCCTGATTTGTATTGTGTTTCTCCATTTCTCTGTTTTGTTTTTCTCTGTGTATATGAATACAGTATGGTGTTTCAATTTTCCCTCTTTCTTAATACATTTTGATATTTGAGGCGCTCTCAATGTTAGTATTATATGACAGCTATTCAGCATGAATCCTTTTGGA